AGCAGCACCAGCATCAGCAGCAGCAGTAGCAGCAACAGCAGTAGCAGCACCAGCATCAGCAGCAGCAGTAGCAGCAACAGCAGTAGCAGCACCAGCATCAGCAGCAGCAGTAGCAGCAACAGCAGTAGCAGCACCAGCATCAGCAGCAGCAGTAGCAGCAACAGCAGTAGCAGCACCAGCAGCAGTAGTAGCAGCAGCAGCAGAAAAAACAGCTCGTAAATGTTGGAGATGAAATACACAGCGGCCTGACCAACTTACTGGTGGTGCAGGAGGTGTTGTTCATAGTGCTATGTTTGGGCGTCTGTCGTTAGCCTCCTTCTGCAGTCAGTAGTTGAGTGGTGCCGAGTGTGTAATCACAGACAGATGCAGATGGATCTGTCCTGATAATTACCTCCCTCCCTCCTTCACTACACCACCGGCCACCACCCCCCTCTCACAGCCCCACCCTCCCCCCTACACACACACATACCACCTCCACCACCACCACCACCAGCGTGCTTCATGGATTACTGAAGCGTCTTCAGGTACATTGAGACCCTCTGGTGTCCGTGAGGGCGCCCGCGCTCCTCCTGCCACACTGCCGCTGCCAGGCTGCCCGCGGGCACCACCTCCTCTTGCTTTTGTCCTCGTGTCTTCCTTTATGTTGTCATCGTCAGAATTATTATCATCATCATCATCATTACCAGCATCATCACCATAATCATCACCATCATCATCACCATCATCACAATCACCATCATCATCATCACCACCATCACAATCATCACCATTATCACCATCATCATCATCATCATCACCACAATCATCATCACCACCATCATCATCATCACCAACATCATCACAATCATCATCATCATCATGGCGCATAGGACGCCTGACAGCTGGGTGGACAGCGCTTCGGATTCGTAGTCCTGAGGTTCCGGGTTCGATCCCCAGCGGAGACAAATGAGCAAAAATGTTTCTTTCACCCTGATACCACTGTTACCTAGCAGTAAATAGGTACATGGGAGTTAGACAGCTGCTACGGGCTGCTTCCTGTGGTGTGTTTAACAAAAAGGAGGCCTGGGCGAGGACCGGGCCGCGGTGACGTTAAAGCCCCGAAATCATCTCAAGATAACCCTCAAGATATCACCATTATCATCACCATTACCATCATCACCATCATTATCATCATCGATAGCAAACCGTCCTCTTAAAAATAACGTCACTTTTGGCTGGTATGCGCGGCACTATGGCCAAATTTGGTCGTAATTTGAAATGAAATCGACTCACAAAAGTGACGTACTGTTCCGTTTTCTGTTTGAGTCGTCCGGCTTACTCGGCATGCTCAGAAGAGGAAACTTTTCATTAACATTTTTCATACCGTTTTGAAACTTTATGAGAATTTCCTGCCCACCTAACCTATCAGAGGACCCTTAACTTACTGTTGTTGAAAAAAAAAAAAATTATTTTCATTTGTTTTTCATTTTCAAATTACGTCCATATTCGGCCATACGGGCAAACGGCCAAAAGCGACGTTCTTTTTAAGAGAACAGGTTGCATCCTCACCATCATCACCATCACCATCTGTCATCAACCTCGTTATATATTACTAGCCGTACCTGGCCACGCGTTGCTGTGGCTCAGCAACTCATGTGCGTTGATGAGCCACACCAATCTTTCCCCTCCCCAGTCCTCCCCGCCATTACCCCCTCTCCCGTCTCCTCGTCCTTTCAACCATTCCCTTGCCCTCGTCCTCCCCACCATTCCCTGCCTCCCCCGTCCCCTCGTCCCCACCATCCCCAACTCCCCTGTCCCTTCGTCCTAGCCATCATTACCCCCACCCCTGTCCCTTCATTCTCCCCACCATCCCTTTCCCTCGTCCTCCCCACCATTCCCCACTCCCTCGTCCAATGCATTCCCAAATGATCTAATGTTCCCACAGAAAATTGGGAACATCAAATGATCTGATGTTCCCATCACTGAAAAATAAGAACAATTAAAAAAACGAAATGAAAAACAATGAAAAATAAAAAAATAAACTATTCTCATGAAATGAACGGTAAGGTAAACAACACAGCACAATTCCAGCGCAATGTTACACAAAATAATTAAATCAAAGTGAAAATAAATCGAAATTTATGAAAATACAATTTATCAATGCAATCGGAAACATTGAAACAGAATCGTAACATATTTAGTATAGCGTGTGTTGCTCTTACGTGCAACATATGGCGCTGTTTTTCAAAAAACGCATGTTTTTACCTGTCACGGGTGTGTCATCTATATAATAGGTAGATAAAAACTTGCACATATTCAAATGGAACGTTATGTCAAAATTTCAAAGCAATCGGTGAAGAACTTTCGGAGATTACAGCGTATATTGCTCTTATGTTCAACAGATGGCGCTTTTTTTTTAAAAAGCTTTTTTTTCCTGTCACAGGTGAGTCATGTATATAGTAGGTATATAAAAACACTTGCTGCCTATTCGAATGCAACGTTGTGTCAAAATTTCAAAGCAATCAGTAAAGAACTTTCGGAGATTAGCGATTTTGAACAAACGAACATTTCCATTTTTATTTATATAGATAACGTGATACAGAGTCATGGAGCAAAAATATATTGTCCAATATTCGATTGTGTATGTCCAAGTTACACCTGCCTCTCCAAGTTACACCTGCCTCTCCAAGTTACACCTGCCTCTCCAAGTTACACCTGTCTCTCCAAGTTACACCTGTCTCTCTAAGTTACACCTGCCTCTCCCAGCTACACACCTACTTCTCCCAGCTACACACCTGCCTCTCCCAGCTACACACCTACCTCTCCCAGCTACACACCTGCCTCTCCCAGCTACACACCTGCCTCTCCCAGCTACACACCTACCTCTCCCAGCTACACACCTGCCTCTCCCAGCTACACACCTGCCTCTCCCAGCTACAGCGGGCTGACAGCTTCTCTGTCATTAACTACAGGTTTGATTACCATGCAAATTACCATGTTTCTCACTGCAGCTAAGGTCCAGTTCTGCTCATTATTCGCGTTAGCTTATAAAGCAGATTGTTTCAAGTCTTTCCGAGTGCCATCTCAGAGTGGAATGTTGGTAATTATAGAGGAAAGTCGCTAGTAATTATAGGGATCTATGCTAATGCTAGAGCCTTGGCTTCTTGGGGTACGTCTGGGGGCGGGGAGTCGAACAGGCCTGGCAAGGTTCGGATCCTGGTTATAATAGATCTTCGTTATAATATGCCTCGTACTTCCTGCCTTTCTTATTATTATTAGTACACAATGAAATCACATTAATGTGATCATTAACATTGAATCAGTAGGAGCCATGAGGAGGATTCGAACCCCGTTCACTTGGCGCCCTAGCGCCACCACGCCACGACATGGTAAAAGCAATGCAACCTGAGATACCCCTAAAGCCTCCTATCATTTAGATTTGTACATACATACAGTCACCAGCCGTGAGTGTGTGTATGTACAGATACACATTCATACACACACTCTGTACATACACATTCTTGTGTGCTGTAGAGTCCGCATGAACACCATAAAGTTCATCTGATACTTCAAGTAAGACCTTGAAGAGGGAGCGCAGTTAGATGCTGCATGAGACGTTTAGCATGTTAAATATTAAAGTTATGGAGAGCTTAGCATCATCTCGGCGACCCGTCACACACTCTTACATATTCTTATACATTTAGCTCCGATTCTCATTGACCTTTAATATATTAATATACAATTATATATAAATTTCCTTGTCTCTCCTTAGAGTCCAACAAGTGCTCAGAATCAGGTAGTGTTTTCCAAGGTGCTTAAAGAATGTAAAGAAGAGCGCAGTGAGCCCTTACCTGCTATATTTATTAAATAATTAGTTGAACCGAGTACCAGAATCGTGGAGGGTTGTTAACGTAGTGTCGGTTTTTAGAGAGATAGATCACTGGCGTCGAACTATCGGTCTACTAGCTTAACGTCAACTGTCAGAAAATTGGTTGAATCGATAATAGCAAAAATTATCCGATTAGATCTTGAAAACATAGATTGAACCACAGATAATTCGCCCAAACAAACCACAAACAACTCGTCAAACTCTGGACAAAGTGTCCAGTAGACAAGGCGTGTCCCTCGAGGCACTCCAAGCACGCCACTCTCGACATTCTCGCCTTGATGTACACCTCCTTTTGTACACCTTATAAGGCCGCCCACTTTAAATTGATAAATTCCTCAGTCGATCAAATTATCTTCTAATGATTCGTTTTGCTCCTGTCGTTTGCCATCTCATTTTCGTAATTATTCTTTTATTTTTTGTAATTAATAATAATAATAATAATAATAATAATAATAATAATAATAATAATAATAATAATAATAATAATAATAAAATTATTATTATTATTATTATTATTATTATTATTATTATTATTATTGTGTGCGTGTGTGTGTGTGTGTATACTCACCTATTTGTGCTTGCGGGGGTTGAACTCTGGCTCTTCGGTCTCGCCTTTGGTCCCGCTCTTTGGTCTCTGTGTACTCACCTAATTGTACTCATCTAATTGTGCTTGCGGGGGTTGAGCTTTGGCTCTTTGGGCCCGCCTCTCAACTGTCAATCAACTGGTGTACAGGTTCCTGAGCCTACTGGGCTCTATCATATCTACATTTGAAACTGTGTATGGAGTCAGCCTCCACCACATCACTGCCAAATGCATTCTACCTGTTAACTACTCTGACACTGAAAAAATTCTTTCTAACGTCCCTGTGGCTCATTTGGGTACTCAGTTTCCACCTGTGTCCCCTTGTTCGCGTACCACCAGTATTGAATAGTTTATCCTTGTCTACCCTGTCAATTCCCCTGAGGATTTTGTAGGTAGTAATCATGTCTCCCCTCACTCTTCTGTCTTCCAGTGTAGTAAGGTGCATTTCCCGCAGCGTTTCCTCGTAACTCATGCCTCTTAGTTCTGGGACTAGCCTAGTGGCATACCTCTGAACTTTTTCCATGGTGGATCACACCCTCCAGGAGACACATGGTGCATCACATCCTTCAGGAGACACATGGTGGATCACATCCTCCAGGGGACACATGGTGGATCACATCCTCCAGGGGACACATGGTGGATCACATCCTCCAGGAGACACATGGTGGATCACATCCTCCAGGAGAACACATGGTGGATCACATCCTCCAGGAGACACATGGTGGATCACATCCTCCAGGAGACACATGGTGGATCACATCCTCCAGGAGACACACGGTGGATCACATCCTCCAGGAGACACATGGTGGATCACATCCTCCAGGTGACACATGGTGGATCACATCCTCCAGGAGACACATGGTGGATCACATCCTCCAGGGGACGCATGGTGGATCACATCCTCCAGGAGACACATGGTGGATCACATCCTCCAGGAGACACATGGTGGATCACATCCTCCAGGAGACACATGGTGGATCACATCCTCCAGGAGACACATGGTGGATCACATCCTCCAGGGGACGCATGGTGGATCACATCCTCCAGGAGACACATGGTGGATCACATCCTCCAGGAGACACATGGTGGATCACATCCTCCAGGAGACACATGGTGGATCACATCCTCCAGGAGACACATGGTGGATCACATCCTCCAGGAGACACACGGTGGATCACATCCTCCAGGAGACACATGGTGGATCACATCCTCCAGGTGACACATGGTGGATCACATCCTCCAGGAGACACATGGTGGATCACATCCTCCAGGGGACGCATGGTGGATCACATCCTCCAGGAGACACATGGTGGATCACATCCTCCAGGAGACACATGGTGGATCACATCCTCCAGGAGACACATGGTGGATCACATCCTCCAGGAGACACATGGTGCATCACATCCTCCAGGAGACACACGGTGGATCACACCCTCCAGGAGACACATGGTGGATCACATCCTCCAGGGGACTCGAGGATGGCATGGAACGCCTTCTCGTAAGAAACACAAAACTAGAAAAGGTCAAGAAAAATATGCATCAAGGCTTGTACCTGAACTAAGGGACAAGAGCTACGAGAGAGACCTGTGGAACTGGACCTTATTTTACTGAGGAAAAGAAGGAACTGGGCAGACATGATAACGACATACAGGATACTAAGAGGACTTTACAAAGTAGATATGGAGGTAATGTTCAACTTGAGGAATAGTAGAAAGATGTGCCAGAGGGAACTTGTTCAGTCTACGAGTCACAAATGAGTGGAACGAAGATGATGAAACCAATTTATTACACAGGTTTAAATGTAAATATTTAATAAAACGAGTGAAAAAGATTCACTGCTTTGAACTACTGATAGTCGAAAGGCGGGGCTTAGGAGCCGATGCTCAACCTTGCACGCACAAATAGGTGACATCTAGTTAAGTACATACACTCACAAACACGCACATGCACACGCACACGTGCGCGGCTGAGTGGACAACGCTCGGGGGTCGTAATCCTGAGAGCCCGGGTTCAATTCTCGGCCGAGACAAAAAGAAATATGGAGAGTTTCTTTCATCAGATGCCTCTCTTCACCAAGCAGTAAATAGATACCTGAGAGTCAGGCTGCTTCCTAGGAATATGTGTGTACTCACCTATTTGTACTCACCTATTTGTGCTTGCGGGGGTTGAGCTTTGGCTCTTTGGTCCCGCCTCTCAACTGTCAATCAACTGGTGTACAGATTCCTGAGCCTACTGGGCTCTATCATATCTACATTTAAAACTGTGTATGGAGTCAGCCTCCACCACATCACTGCCTAATGCATTCCATCCGTTAACTACTCTGACACTGAAAAAGTTCCTTCTAACGTCCCTGTGGCTCATGTGAGTACTCAGTTTCCACCTGTGTCCCCTTGTTCGCGTACCACCAGTGTTGAATAGTTTATCCTTGTTTACCCGGTCGATTCCTCCGAGGATTTTGTAGGTTGTGATCATGTCTCCCCTTACTCTCCTTGTGAGTGTGAGTGTGTGTGAGTGTGTGAGTGAGAGAAATATTTGTAGTAGATATGATTGAAGAAAACTGGCCGGGGGTCAGTAAATTAGACAAGCGAGGGTCAGAAAGGCAGGGTCCAAGAGCTAACAGCTCAATCTTGCCGGGACCAATAGTAAATACAGACACATAAGCTGGCACTATCACACACCGGCTCCATATCTGACACAACATCATCTCCCACGCCTCTCATATATTTAAATTGCGGCAATAAAACACAGTAGCAACATAAATTATCCGTCCCAGATGAGAGCAGATGTTTCCTGCCACCATACAGTGCACTATCTTTACTGCCTCTCCCGCTATGTGTTGTACAGCAGGGCGGCGGTGAAGTGTTCCACTCCCAGGCGCTCTCTAGTGGTGGATGGCAGGTGGGTGCACCAGGGTGAGTGTGTGTGTGGATGGCAGGTGGGTGCACCAGGGTGTGTGTGTGTGTGGATGACAGGTGGGTGCACCAGGGTGTGTGTGTGTGTGTGGATGACAGGTGGGTGCTCCAGGGTGTGTGTGGATGGCAGGTGGGTGCACCAGGGTGTGTGTGTGTGTGGATGGCAGGTGGGTGCACCAGTGTGTGTGTGTGTGTGGATGACAGGTGGGGGCACCAGGGTGTGTGTGTGTGTGTAGATGACAGTGGGTGCACCAGGGTGTGTGTGTGTGTGTGTGGATGACAGGTGGGGGCACCAGGGTGTGTGTGTGTGTGGATGACAGGTGGGGGCTCCAGGGTGTGTGTGTGTGTGTGTGGATGACAGGTGGGGGCACCAGGGTGTATGTGTGTGTGTGGATGACAGGTGGGGGCTCCAGGTTGTGTGTGTGTGTGTGTGGATGACAGGTGGGTGCACGAGGGTGTGTGTGTGTGTGTGTGTGTGGATGACAGGTGGTGCACCAGTGTGTGTGTGTGTGTGTGTGGATGACAGGTGGTGCACCAGTGTGTGTGTGTGTGTGTGGATGACAGGTGGGTGCACGAGGGTGTGTGTTTGTGTGTGTGTGGATGACAGGTGGTGCACCAGTGTGTGTGTGTGTGTGTGTGTGTGGTTGACAGGTGGGTGACGAGGGTGTGTGTTTGTGTGTGTGTGGATGACAGGTGGTGCACCAGTGTGTGTGTGTGTGTGGATGACAGGTGGGTGCACGAGGGTGTGTGTTTGTGTGTGTGTGGATGACAGGTGGTGCACCAGGGTGTGTGTGTGTGTGGATGACAGGTGGGTGCACGAGTTTGTGTGTTGTGAGTGAGTGCACGAGGCGAGAGAGCTATAAAGAAACATTCAGTGTTAGCTGTGGTGATGGGGTTATCATCCACGGGAGTGTAATTAGTGTCACCACATTATACTGACCAACCAGCCACTATGACCCACCACTAGAGTACACTCTCAACCTATAAACACTGATAATCGTGGTGTTCCTCGCGGTATACACCTCCCTTCCTCCTTATCTAAATGAGATCGAGGATGTCAACTGGTCGTCAGAGGCCCAGAAGGTATAGACTCCGAAGTGCGCTGCAGTGTGCTCCTCCAGCGGCCAGCCACTAGTAGTCACCCTGGTGTTGGTGTAGCCAGGCCCCATATGTCTTGTAAACATTCCCTGGCTTCGTAGACTTATCCGCCTCGTATCTAAATGTAACTACAGACAAAAAATAAAGTTTATATCAGTTCCTTTTGTAAACATGGAGCGGTATCTGCCGGCGGGAACCTGTTCAAGAGAGCCTCGGCGCCACTACCAGACCACTCTAAGGAGACGGGTGAAACTACACACAACTCACTCGAACTGGGACCATAAAAAGAAACGAACCGCTGAATGGTACCTTCATCCAGCTTGGCCAGACCTAAAGTGTACCAGTTTATTGTGTGTGTGTGTGACACCGTCCTTACGGAGAAGGTCAGTTACTTCTTCCAGAGTCTCTCGGTCAGTGCACCTTGCTCTCTCCTGCAATGTTTTTTCCGTCTTTCGTGCAATGTTCCTTGTCCTCGTGCAATGTTCCTCCGTCTCTCGTGCAATGTTCCTCGGTCTGTCATACAATGTTCCGTGGTAATAAGAACGAGGAAAAAGCTTGCTTCTAAACGATGGGATGAATTTTAATGCAGAGTAAATCCTGTTTTTTTTTTTTCAGCGCTCAGGACCAGGTTGAAAATATCTTATATATGCCACGATAATATATGCAAAGATTCTAATGACAGCAACGCGCATTTCTCTGAACGAAAACCAATGAAGTCTTTCAAATTTCACCCC